CTCTAGACATACTTGGACTTTTCTTATGAAAGCCAAGTCTGTTGTTGTTTCTGTAATAGAAAACTTTTCTGCAATGGTTAATAATCAGTTTAATGGCTCTATTAAATGCATTAGGTCAGATAATGCAAAGGAACTTTGTGAAGGTCCTATCTTACAGTTTTATAATAGATATGGAATTGTGCATCAGACTAGTTGTACAGACACACCACAACAGAATGGTGTGGTTGAGAGAAAGCACAGGCATTTACTTGAAACTGCCAGGGCCTTGTTTTTCCAGTCTAATGTCCCTATTTCTTTATGGGGGAAATGCTTACTCTGTGCCACACATCTGATTAATAGAATGCCTCTAATTTCTATTGATTTTTGTTCTCCTTATGAGAAGTTTTTTGGAGTTAAACCTAATTTAGGACATCTAAGAGTTTTTGGATGTCTTTGTTATGTTTCCACCATCAAATCTCAGAGAAGTAAATTTGATTCTAGAGCTTCACCATGCATTTTTCTAGGATACCCTCCAAACCAAAAGGCTTACAGAGTCATGAATCTTGAAACAAGGCAATTTGTTATTTCTAGAGATGTCTATTTTCATGAAAAACATTTACCATTTCATTTTCCTGACCACAACAAACCTCAACCTATTTTCTTACCCTTAGCTACCCCAAACACATCAGATTTTTCACCAATTATCCCTGAGCCATTTCTTTTTGATACAGATCCTGAGTCTGCAACCTCTTTCACTCCACCAAATATTCCAAACTCCCCACCTCATTCTCCAATTTCTGTTTCTTCTCCTATTTCTACTTCTCAACCTCTTTATGTCACTTCATCTCCACCTGTAAGACAGTCTCACAGAACTCATAAAACACCCTTTTGGCACAAAGATTATGTTACTGCTAATGCTCATTGGTGTAATATAATTCAGTACAGTGAGATCCCTTCAAGTTTTAAAGTTTTCATTGCTCAGACTGCTGCTATTTCATAACTGTAGACACCCATTTGTGTCTCCCCAAAACCAAACCCAGTGATGAATACCTTTCATGTCGAATCATAATCGAATGAAGCGAAAGTGTGGAAAGTCTAGTGTTGCGGATAGTTTTAATTCTTTTCTCTTCTCTCTGTTTTTGAAAACTTATTTTAAGAAAACAACCAATCCAGTTTGATTGGTCCATGATATGGGTCCAATAATAATGTAGTTGGATGGGGTTTGAAAAGAACTTTCCAACGATATATTATAAGCCCAATTCCGATGAATATCGAGGAAGTTATGGCCCAAATACTAAACTGGGCCCGATTTGGTTTTTATATGCGGCCCAATGATCTAGAGGAGGGCCTATTATTAATTATCATTCCTAAAGCTATTAGAATTGATTATAGTCTTTTAGAATACTCTAGGAGGTTCTTTTAAATCCTAATGGAGTTAGGATTGATAATTATGTTTTAAAGAGTTTGAAATTGAATAAAACTACTCCTTTTAAGAATCCTTGTTTTGTACGAAGTGGAATATATTCAGATTTTATTTTCGTGCCTCATAATATTTATCCAAATTTTATATGGTCAGATAGATCTTGAAATTATCTTTCCAATGATATATTATAATATTAAATCCGAATTATAACGAAAAAGATATGAATGAGACATGAAACTTTATCCAAAACTGACACCCTTCCACTATTTCGGTCATATATTTTTATCTACAAAATATTTTAATCTGATTCTAATTGTGTTAGAAAGTAGACTTTAAGAGATTTCCAACGACATATTATATGCCTTATTTGGACTTCCGGATCAAAAGATATGATAAAAACAAAAACGCGTTAAAAACAGGCTTGGCGCCTGACTCCAGGCATTGGCGCCTGGAACCAGGCCTGGCGCCTGGCTCCAGCCATTGACGCCTGGTGCTAGCCATTGGCGCCTGGCGCCAATGGCCAATTCCTGGCGCCAACCTCGTTTTGCGTGTGCCAGACTCTGTTTTGATAATTTATCTTTTTGGCTGATTTTCTCTATAAATAACGTCGTAAAAACTCCGTTTTCATTCACCAACTCTCATCAAGATTTTCTTGATTATTCTCTCTCTCTCTCTCTCTTTTTCTAAACTAGTCTTTTCTCAAATACAAAATTCCGCATTCACAAGATCTAGAAACACCTAGCCATATTCGAAGTTGCCTTCGCTCTAGACGTGAAAGGTTTAATTTCTGAGGGTTTGGTCCCAAATCTCTATTTCAATTATTTAATTTAATTTTTTTTATTATTATTTTCCTTGAAGTTACTAACGTGTGTATTTTGTTATTAGAAAGAGGTACGAGGCATCAAAGTAAGTGCTTTAATGGTTTTTATTGATGTTATGATGTAGAAATCATGTTTATATTGTTCTTATGATATTCCTAGTATCATGTCTAGGGTAATTTTAATATTAAATATGATTGTTATGATGTTTCCTATGTTCTTCCTAATATTTATGATTGTTAGTATCATGTTAGGGTTAAAGATTTGATTTTTATTGCTTAGTGACATGCTAGGGTTTGTTATTAATCTTGTTAGTATCATGCCTAGGATCTTGCTATTATTATGCTTTAATATTAACATGAACATGATTATGATTATAATTATTATAATTTATGATAATGATGATTATGAATATTATTATTATTATTATTATTATTATTATTTTGATGATGATTATTTTATTTATGATGATTATTATTATGACTATAATTTTATTATTCATGATTTATTATTTATTATGTTGCTTGATATTTATTTTTATTGCTTGATCACGCCTTTTATGCATGTTTAAAGGGAATTGGTACTTGTAATCACGCTTAATAAGATAATTAATAATCTTGTTAGGGTTAATGTGATTATAATTTCAAGTGATCGCCAATAATAGATTTATTTGTGCATTTAATATTCAACCAACATAGATTAAACAGGTTTAGGGTTAATTCTATTGATTGCATATTAATTAAAAAGTGCACATGAATACGATCAGAATAAAGTAGAGGCCTATTATTAGAGCAGGTTCAATCTCTTTTAGGTTGGATTTGTACCTTCATCCCCGAACCCTTATTTGGTTCTAGACCTTATGGAGTTGACGATCTCTTGGATCGTTAAGGGGTGTAACCTTCACCCTGTGAACGGTTTACAAGTTCCTAAAACTTGTTGGCGACTCTTTTGCTCTATCTTCTTCCCTTTTGGACGCCACCGTATTTTAGTGTATGATCACAGTGGGGTTCAAGCTAGTGGGATTAAAGCTTGAAATTATTCCCTACAAGAACCATCTAGTTATTTTGAGGCATCTCAACATCAGGGTTGGGTTGAGGCTATGCAGAAAGAATTGGATGCTTTGGAAAGAAATGGGACATGGAAACTTTGTTCTCTTCCAAAAGGGAAGAAAGATATAGGGTGTAAGTGGGTTTTTAAGGTGAAACTCAAATCAGATGGGACAGTAGAAAGACTCAAAGCAAGGTTGGTAGCCAAGGGTTACACTCAGGTTTTTGGCATTGATTTTGATGAGACTTTCTCACCTGTGGTTAAGATGGCTACAGTCAGATGTCTTTTGTCTCTTGCTGCACATAAAGGCTGGTCTTTGTACCAATTAGACATCAACAATGCTTTTCTTCATGGTAATTTGCATGAAGAAATTTACATGAAGGTGCCTGAGGGCATGCTTAATCCTCATAATCTTGTTTGCAAGTTAGAGAAATCTATCTATGGCCTTAAACAAGCTTCAAGGCAATGGTATGCAAGGCTCACTCTTGAGTTACAGTCTAAAGGGTTCAAGCAGTCCTTGAATGATTATTCTATGTTTCTCCAACATACTGATGCTGATCTTATCATCATTATTGTCTATGTTGATGATATTATTATTACTGGTAGTAATGATGCTGTTATTTTGGAGTTAAAGCATCATCTAAATTCTGTCTTCAGCATTAAGGATTTGGGTACACTTCACTATTTCTTGGGGATTGAAGTTCTTCATATACCTCAAGGGATAATTATGACTCAAAGGAAGTTCTCTACAGAGTTGTTACAGGAGTCAGGCTTTGATGTTTCCAAAGTAGCAAAAACTCCTCTGCCTCAGAAATTGAAGTTGGCAGCAGGAGATGGGGATTTTTGTTCTGATCCTTTTCTATATAGACAGTTGGTGGGCAAGCTCAATTTCCTGACTCACACAAGACCTGATCTTGCTTTTGTTGTACAGTCTCTAAGTCAATTTATGCAGCAGCCTAGAGTACAGCATATGGAAGATTTACAACATGTTCTTAGATATGTTGCCTACACTTTGGGTCAAGGAATTTTGCTCAGGGCTACAGAACAGCTCACTTTACAAGCATATTCAGATTCTGATTGGGGTGCTTGCCCTGATACTAGGAGATCTGTGACTGGTTACATCATGATGCTTGGAAATTCTCCCATTTCCTAGAAATCTAAGAAGCAGAGCACCACTTCTAAGTCTAGCTCAGAATCTGAATACAGAGCCATGGCGGCTGCTTCTGGTGAAATTGCTTGGTTGGTCAGATTGCTTACTGAGCTAGGAGTACTTCATTTGCAGCCTGTAAAATTGGGTTGTGATATTCAGTCTGCAATTTGTATTGGGAAGAATCCTGTGATGCATGAACGTACTAAACATATAGAAATCGATTGTCAATCCACTCGAGAGGAAGTCTTGGAAGGTCTTATTGAGCTCACTTATCTCCCTTCTGCAGAGCAGCTTGCAGACATTTTTACCAAGGCATTTCCTGTTCATCAGCATTCATATTTGACTTCCAAGCTTGGTCTGGTTTATTCAACCACCTCAAGCTTGCGGGGGGGTATTGAAGATGAGGAGTATGATCAATTATTTCCACCCTGAGCTGTGTGTGCCATCTCATCAAGTTAGTTTATAACTAACTCTTTCTGGAAGTTTCTGCTGTAACAAACTCAGGCACGAGTTTGTTGTGAGTGCTGACCTCATTTCTTTTTGTAATAGACTAGTACTATATATGTTTGTTCTCTGAGATCATGCTTTTGTAATGCTGATAATATTCTTCTTTCTGATTTTTCCCTTAATACATTTTCTCTCATATTTCTCTCTCTAAACTTCTTGTTCAACAAGTTTTCTGCATATTTCTTCAAATTTCATCATAAACTTACCGATTTTTACTGAACTTCAATTAATTTTACCGTATTATTTTTAAAGCGACAATAACACCCCTTTAATCTTCAAGTTTTCCATTATACCCTTAAAACCCCAAATAAGTGAATCGAGTTCTTAGAGAAAGTCAGAAAGAAGTATAGAGGTCAAAGGAGAGAGATATGGAAGAAAGTGGAGTGAATCCAACTTCTCCAGGGGTCTCCCCTGTTCAACTCAACGATTGCCTCGAAGATCTTCTCAAATTCATCCTTCAATCTTCCATTAATGGCACCCTTGGTTTTAACCTTGGCTTATCTCCTGACTTTTGTTCAGGACTTCTTAATCATGATGATCACAATGCTGAACATGTTAATCATCCTTTCCCCTCTTCTAATGGTAAGCTGTTTCCAAATTTTCATTTACGGGTTAATAATTGTTATCGACTTTTGCAAACAACTACCTTTTCTTGTCGGGTTTTGGGCCCAGAATACTCGCATCATTTTGACTTTTTACACTATTTATCCTTAATTCAACTCAATTACTATAGAATTATATAAGATTGTTGTTTCATTGCTAAAAATTAATTGGGTTAATGCAGATTTTTCAGAGGGGGTTCCATCACACCCTTTATACAAGAAATTTGCTTCTGCTTTGCAACAATGTATCATTTCTGGGTCATTCTTTTCAAGTAGTGAAAATGTGCCAGAATTATTATTTGAGGATGAATCATTGCAAGATATGAAAATTCAATGGAATGAGTTGATTTCTCAAAAAGGGTCTGAATTATTACATGTAAGTTTCTTAATTGAAGTGATGTATTTAGGATTAGTAATTGTTAAGGTATTTTTTTTTTTTTTTTTTTTTTTTTTTTGATGAAAATATAATTTCTGCAGATGTTGAACAGCATCAAATTTGAACTTCATGTTCAGGAGCCTTATTTTTCGCAATTGAAAGGTATAATTGGATCAGAAAAATGTACATTCTCTATTGCTGCCTTGTTATATATGAAGTGGTTATGTAGTTATGATGGTTTTGAACTTTTGATGATGTTGCAGATGGCATGAAAACAGTTGAAGGAAGGTGTGCAGTTGGAAACTATAATCGGTATACTTCATTGCCCTTGTTGGTTTTTATTGTGTGATTGAATGTTTCGAAAGTATTTCGTATTCTAATCCTCTAGGGTGCTGGAAATGATATAGTTTCTGTTATACGAAGTGTTAAACAATGCTGATAAAGAGACTTGGGAAGCTTTATCTAGTTACGAAAACTAATCACTCATAATGATATCTGATTCCACTTCATGTTAGGATTTCAATCATACTGATGTTTTGTATTTTGGTGTATTTGCCTTCTTGCCTGTATAGAATTCAATCAGGAGATTTGGTTTTCTTCAACAAGTGCTTGATGCTTGAGGTTCAGGTATTGATGTACTATTGACGTCGTTATATTTTATTTGTGTGATCAAATTGTGTATTGAGCCCTGACATGTGAGTACTTCCAGGATGTCCGCCATTATTCTTCGTTCTTGGAGATGTTGGAAGCAGAAACTTTGAAGGTTGTACTTCCAGGGGTACTGACGTTTGAAGAAGGTAATACTTTGGAACTTGTATGTTACTTATTCACAACTGCTACAAGTTTATTCTACGTGTATAGACAGCTAGATATAGCAGGACATGGGATATAAACCAGTCTAGGGAAAGAAACTACTTTGTATCAGAAAGTATTAGAATTTTTATTGAGCTTTCCATATCCAAGTGAAAACTACTGTGAAGTTCCTGATGTTTATACGGTGTATTTACTATTTAGCGGCAAAAAGATATTTTTTTTTAGTTGATCCCAATCTGTTTGCCTGCAGCCTAGAGTGGATAAGGATTTATTTGTGATCATGTGAGAACTGGACTGGACTGGACTGGACTGGACTGGTGGCCTGGCCTGGCTACTGCAGTACTGCTGCCTACTGATTACAAAGAATAACTAGGTTTTTATGTAGACAATGGGGAAAAAAAAAAATTAACTTGGCGCAACATAATTAATGTATTATTTTGGTGGATGCGGTTGATAAACCTTGGGGTTACTCTGTAACAACTCAATATTGGTGGCAATGTGGCATATATTTAGCATCTCTATGTATGTGAGGCTGTGAACAGAAAGCTTTTTTTTCCATGTATTTCTTTTACATTCAACATAAAAGGGGAATTGATTTTTTGATCGATCATAACAGTGTATCTTCCTATGATATCTCCAAAAATTCAATTTGCATTTGGCATTTGGCATTTATGGAATTGGGGCATTTCCATTCTTGCAACAGAAATTCTTACAATCTTATATTCTTAGAGGATATAAATGTTATGTTGTAGAGAACATTTCTAGTATGGGATATTATACCTTGGTAGGAAGTATAATTAGTTTGGAAGGAGTACCAGAGTCGTAATATAGAATCTTAGGTCTTTACGTAGTGTTCCATTAGCTTTTGGCGGGCTTAAGATTGTTTTGTGACATTATGCACTATGATAAAAGTGGAGTAAGGAACTTCCCCACCTTGGGAGCGACTAGTTTCACTGCTGAGGTTGTGACAAATCTAATATCATTTAATATACATGCTATGAGTATTTACTGATTGTTAGCCATTCTGTTTGTAGGTGTAAAAATTTACAGAAATTTCTACACCGAGGAAAAGGAGCAGTCAAATGGCGTCCTTGCAATAAGTGTTGACAGACCAGCTTCTCAGCCTTATGCTGTCTTATCTGATGTTATTATGGCAAGTTTTTTTCCTTCCTATCAGCCTCAATTTTTTGTTACTCCTGAAAAATACTACCCTCCCTGGCTCCCTAAAAGTTTGATTTAATTAAAAGTCTTCTAAAAAGGAAGTAATGTGCAATAGATGGATAGAATAATGCATTATTAATTTCAGAAGGTTGTTTTTTGTAGTATCTTAGATAGCAAAGTTAATTTCCCGATAGCTTTAGTATTATAGAGTAAAATTACAAATCGGATCAAGCTATGCCTCAGGTTTTTGCGTGTAGTTTGTGACTAAGAATAGTTGCATACAGTTGGAGTCTAATAGTATATCATCAGTATCATTTAGATTATTGTTTTTCAAGCATAATTGACACGGATATTGCCTTATTTTTAGAGTGTTTTATTAGATGAATTGAGAACTGGATTCTTCGTTTTCACTTTTAAGAATTTCCTTAAATTTTAAACTATACACTGAGCTAATAAATTGATATATTTTGTTGAATAAAAACAATTTGGTAAACCTTAGCACATAAATATTGGTTGTTGATATGAAATAACCTGTTCGTTTATTTCTGCCTTCTCATGTTAGTACCTTTTTTTTAAAAAAAAAAAAAAAAAAAAAATCATGTAAATACTAAATAGTACTATGTTGTAGGTCTTGTAGCATAGTGATTTAGTGACGTATTACTATGTTGAAACTTTTTTTCTTACAAAGATTTGTTCCACTCCCCTTAACTGTTTTTTATCCCCTGATCAGGGCCTTGGTCATAAGGGCATACAGAGCCTTTTAGGACTTAAGCAAACTGTTGGGACAATTTCAGATGCACTTCCACCTCCAAGATCAACTCTCCTCTCATCTTTTGCATTGCCGCATAAATCAAATGTATGGATAGTTAATTATGGTTTTTCTCTTATGTTCACCCATTTACATGTACTGTCTTATTAGGTTTCAACTTGTAGTGATTTTCGCCTTCACATGGCCAGAGACTTGTTTTGGAGATGGATTATATAGATGATAGTGATGTCATCATAGTGATGCTGTATATAGGTTTTGTACATAGATCAAAAGGTTTTTTACTTTTTCAATAGCATTATTTCTCCCTTTTTAGAGAAAGGCTTTATATCTGATACATCAAAGTATCTGAAAGATATTTTATGATAAAAATAGTTTGACCATCCAACAGTTACTTTCTGTTAAGCCAGAAACTTTGACTGTATGTTAACAAAAAGGACCTCCTGAATTTTGATCACACTATAATATCAGTATGTGTTTCTGGGGTTTAATTTATCCATCAAGTATATATATTTGTAAATCTTAAATATGCCTTTATATTTTGATCATTGCTGCATATTAATCGATTTCTTGGTTAACTCGAGATTAAAGGTTGTGCCTTGACTGAAGGTGCCAGAGCATTGACTAAGCATGTCAATAGATGCAGCAGCAATTATTGGGGTAAAGTAGAAGGAAATGGTGAGTATAATTTGCATGTGACTTTTGTCTACCTTTCAATTATCTTATATAGAAGTTTGGTTCAGGATAATGGTTGGAATGTTGGATGTTCTGGTTCGTCCTTATATCTAGCCTGTATACTTGATTCTCTGACTTATTTTTTTATCAGTACGAGACTAAAACTCGGTCCACAATTTGCTTCCATGTTGCTTTAAATGGACAATTTGGTTATATTTAGTTCAATTATGTGCCAGGCTGAAGGTTGCATTCTAGAGTTTTGTTAACCTGAAGATTGCTCACTTTCTGAATCTGCCTCAAACAAGCAGTCCATAATTTTGAATTCTTCTTTTACTTTCAGATTTCAATAAGAACCAGCTTGCCAATGAGGTCATAACACGTATCATAGGTCATTGTCAATGGTTGAATGTGCATATTGTCCAACCACATGGTGCTGTTTTTGAAATACGAAATTCTCAAGGTTATGGTGCCCGGTGGTCTGCAGATGGTACCAAGGTAATGCTTTATAGTTTCATGCATTTGCTTATATACAATTGCAGCTGGATTGTGAAATGAGCCAAATTATGGTTATCCATTTCAAAATTATGTCAATCAACTTGTCATCACATAATCCTCATACGTCTTAAACTTTTTGGAAATTCTCGAAGAATATATATATTAGACTACTAAAGGTTACACCAACATTATACTTCCCGGACAAAATTTAGTGTTCTGCCTCTATTGACTTTATATTTCCCTACCTGGTTACATGAGAAAAGTCCACACCACAACCCAAAGGTGGCAAATGCCACATTCCACAATCTACCTGTGGAGTACACTGATTACGCTCTAGATTTGCAATGCAAAGCCATAAAATTTGTAAACCTTTATCCCTTTCTCTGTAAACCTTCATTGAAAGAATGGCAATCTGATTTTTGCTGCAAAAATCCTAATATAATTTTGACATTTCATCACAGCCCACGGTTTTTTGTTAATCGATCTCTAATCAGCTTTGAATGGTTAATGATTGCACTGAAATTTCTGTGTCAATTGTACAGGAATTTTATACTTGTCTCATCTTTGTGATGATACTTTGTTTTGACTCTGAATTCCTTGTTTGTAATCAGTTCATAGGCTTTTTGGAACCATACATGGTTAATGGACATTTGAAGAAATGGAGGCACTAATTCGTTTGTGAGAAATGCGCTATATATCCGCTCCCAATTAATACTTCAAATTACAGATTGTAAACTTATACTGCATCTGTTTGATACTGTGATGTGCTGAGACTGATATCTCTTCGTACAATAAAATTACTCTCGAAAACCTGCTGTCTGACTTGCTATGTCATGAATTTTCTCTTGCTTGATTTGTTTCTTAGCATTGTAATTGTGCTAATTCCATACAATGTTTTGAGCTGCGACGTTCATAGGTGCATCATGAGATTGATATTAACGGAATTATAAAACATCTGCAGGGCTGCATTCTGTAGTGAACTAGTCATGATAAGGTTTTCAAGTATTTCAAGTTCATACTTGTGACTTTACTCCGTATGTGTTTATGGTCTTGTTTGGTAAAGTCGATAATCTGTATTAGGTATAGTAGTATTTGCACACACTAGCATATTTAGCTATAGTAAGCTTGAGACTTGGATCCCTCCAAGGGTGATGGGGCGGGTACAATACTTATTCGCCCCGGCGGATCTCTACTTAAACTTGATCCACTTACATCCCTAGAGGGCTAGAGTAGAAAGTTGTCCTCCTCACTATTATCTAACTGTTGCTTCTATATGGACAATACACCCCACTTCACTTCAAACTTGCTAATTGAGTTTACATAAATGAACAGGCCTTGCAAACATAAACACTATCATGTTGTTTCTATCACATCTCTATCAAAATCATAATCATAGGTCTAAACTTGTACTGTAATTCCTAGTAAGTCCAACTTGTAATTCCTTGCAATAGTATTAAAACCTAAAAGGGATAATTATTACTCTCTCAGATCAATAATAATCTACAATTTTGACTTTTTTCACTATTGACATAATAACTTTAATTTGACTATGATTTTTTACTAACGTATACTACAAAATATTTATCATTTAAAATTTTTTAAATAGATGTTGATATAAATTTTCATAACATCAACTTTTATATATATATATATATATATATATATATATATATATATATATATATATATATATATATATATATATATATATTTTGTTATTAATGGTTAAATATTTATATTTAAGGTCAAAATAGAGCGTTGGTAAGTGTGTTAAGTTTAACCGTGTCAATTATTATGAAACAAGGGAAGTTGAAATAAAATTTATACCCATATAAGGTGATCTTCAACTTAAAGTGTTCTTCTAAAAGATTAAATTGACTTTTATATCAATTGCTTTATAGACGGTCAAGACAAGTGTCAATTTGGGTATTTGAGTCGGCTTAGATAAGGTAAGGTAAGGTCAAGTTAGTTATATTTTTAAAAAAATTGAGTTATGCTAAATTATTACGTCCATATAAATTGGAATCTGAATTCGGTATTGTTCGCGTCGGTTTCAATTCGAGTCGATTTTAACACCTTTATGTGGAGTGTCAAAATCTGGCCCAACATAACCTTAACATTGGTAAATAATGGGCATATTTAGCAACATCGTTTGAGTAATTTTTAGGTAACTTTTATTGGTTTGACTAAGGGCATGTTCACATTTACTTAATTTCATTTCAGTTCAGTTTAGCTCCAATCAGTTCAGTTTAGCTCCAATCAGTTTTGTTCAGTTTAGTTCAGCTCCAAATTTACCTCACTCATAAAATATTAATTTCAGCTCAGTTCAGTTCAACTCCAATCAGTTCTGTTCAGTTTAGTTCAGCTCCAATCAGTTCAGCTCAATTCAATAAATATGAACAAACCCTAAGTCAAATCACTACTTAGAATAATAAAAATGAGCGTTTGACACGAAAATCAAAAAATTTAAAATATTTCGTTAGGTTTTTGACGGCAGGTGGTAAAAAAACAATTTTTAATTTTTTTGGTGGTAAAATAAAACTTTTGAAATTTTTGGTAGTAAAAAACAATTTTGTGATTTTTTTTTTTTTTGTGGTAAAAGTAAAAAAAATCCTAATTTTTATATGTTAACAACTAGTTTACAGCTATTTACAAAACACTCATATTTTAATTATCATAAATAATGATATTTTGATCATCTATCTTCAGTGTTAACAGTAATACTTGCACAGTTAACTACTACTTCTTTCATTATATATTAGGTTCAACTTTGAGGTATTACATGTGAGACATAATTTTTTTTAAAGTTGCAACTGATATGTAACATGAGAAAGTAGTACAACTAACGGCAATTTCTATGGCTATTTTGCCGAATGCACCCAACGTTAAAGGTATAGTTGTTGTCAAACTAATCACATCCATGTCTACCCATAGGCACGTCGATTAAAAGAACTATATGATAATAATGACATTACAAATAAAGTTACTTTACGTTACATTTTTCATACAATCTTTGGTTATTTTGGAATTTTCCAATAATACTCGTACGAAGTACTTGGTAGTTGGTATCATTAGATATATGGTACAAATATTATAGAGGAACACCTTTAATTTAGGGTTACTTCGAGTAGTTTTCCCATGCAACATAAAAATGAAGACAAGTTAGCGTAGAAGAGAAAGGAAAAAGGGGTTGGGCAAGACTTATAAAGGGTCCTATTTATTACAATGATAGCAATTTCATTATCGATCATCATCTTTGTTAGTACTTCTTGTCTATGTTTGAGATTGAAAATGATGGAGAGTTTGCAATTGAAATTCAATTCATGTCTCATTTATTTAGTATTTACCATCCAATATTACCAATTTATCACATACTAATTAATACGAGTAATACTTTGATAATTGAGTTATATGTTAAAGGACCAACTCAAACCAAAAAGGTTAAATTGATGGTTGAAGGCATGAAGCCCATGATCTGTTTTGACTGTTTATATACACTATCACGCCCCTTCACGCAAGAACTTGTTGGACGTGAAGTGTGGTTGCAGTATGACTCCTCCTTATACTTAGGGCCTGTTCTCATTGACTAAACTCAGCTGAATTGAACTGAACTGAACTGAACTGGATATTTTATAAGAGAAGGAAATTAGGAGTTGAACTGAACTGAATTTCAACGTATGAGAACAGACCCTAAAGCTTAAATTCCACTTTGAAAGGAGGGGGTGAAAGGAGGTAGTTGGTGGCTTATGTGATGGTCGGATAATCCAACAACTGAAAAACCAAGAGTTTTCTTTAACTAAAGAAGTTACATCAAAAATATTATCTCCTCTATTTCATTGTTAAAATCCGATGATTCAAAATACACATTCGAAACTAGAACTCGTGGTAGAGATTTGAACATGTACAAATATTACAAACCAAGAAAAGGTTAAGAAAGATCTTCACTTTGTTTTTCTATTTGAATTGTAAAGAGTACAATGAGATGATTAAGAAATGAGTAGGAAATGATACTAGATTGTCATTTTCTTATTATGACATTAAAAGGATCATAAGAATTACCAAAAGTACACATCCCACTTGATAAATGACTAGAGTGAAAATATGTGTTATTGGTAGTGGAGACATGTTATATCATGCCACACACAAATATTTTGTGTTTTTCTGCTTAACTTATATATTTGAGACATGGCATGTGATTATCTAGAAAGTATAATGTTTTTATATATTTTGTAATCATATTAATAGGAGTTATGCTCAAATGAAGCATAATATAATTGCTTCTTTCTTTTGACATGTTGGCAATTAATCAATTATTTAATTAAAATGTTAAATAATAATTCTATTGATATGATTTACTCAAATAGTTTTTATATGTACACCTTGTATTATCCCTTTTCATTTAGCTAGCTAAGTTGGGGTCTAATTTGGTCGGTTTTCTTGATTTGCCTACATGATGAATAACAGTGTTTATCCTGTTTCAAGCCCAATAGATATCTGTAATTAGTACAAGTTGTACTTTAATTGGTGTAATTTGCTTAAATTTTTAAAATCAGGGAACCTATATTAACAAGTGTTGTTGTGTTTTATGACTTGAATCTACAACAACCAGCAACTATTTAAGCTAGAACAACCCCTTACTCAATGCTCGTTACACTTTATTATTAATCAATTCGAAAACTTAATTTTGTAATACATGGGGTTACAAAAATTAGGTGTATTACTCCATATGACCATATTATTGTAATCGTTTACTAGATCAAAACTCCATTTTGTTATGACCTTAATGTGGTGCTTCTTCAACTCCTCACCCATCCACAGTTCAATGGTTATATGCAATTGGCACAAAAATATATCCAAAGTTCATTACGGAGTAAATATTACTCTAATTTATTAGGTATTGTACTCGTTTACTAGATCAAAACTAAAAATCTTGTACTATGTCTCTTAATTTTTCTGTAAGAAGAAATATATATTATAAGTACGATTTTATAGGATTTTAAAAATTTTATTTTTTTTAATAGAATTTATGAGTACAGTCCATTGAAGATATTATTAGTCAAGTTTGTGCATTGGAGTTTTAAGAACCATAAATAATAAACAGAAAGTTTTATATGTGGCTAGCCACATGGTATGTCCACTTCTCATAATCACATATAAGGCAATTGATTAAGTAATAGGGGATAACGGTGGTAAGCAAATGAGGTTACCTTAAGTTATTTAAGTTACTTAAATTAGAAAAAGGGATTACTTTCTTATATATGTGGAATTATTCTTTCATTTTTTACAACAAAAAATAGAGGTTACTCGAATGAACAAATGAGGATACTTAATTCTAAATTACTTGATTTTACTCGTATAACGAATTGAATTTGGGTTACTTTTATGGACAACATGGAGTTACTCTTATGAAATGATGAGGTTACTCATACATATAAATGAAGATTAATCTTATAAACCAATGTGGCTACACCATACAAGACTTAGGGCATGTTCACATTTACTGAACTGAAATGATTGGAGCTGAACTGAACTGATTGGAGCTGAACTGAACTAAGCTGAAATGAATATTTTATAAGAGAGGAAAATTAAGAGCTGAACTGAATTGAATTGAACTGAACTGATTGAAGCTGAACTGAACTGAACTGATTGGAGTTGAACTGAACTGATTGGAGTTGAACTGAACTGAAATTAAGTAAATGTGAAAAACCCTTACCCAATTATAAATGATGAGTAGAATTCATGATAACAAAGAATTTAATTATTATAACTTTTTAAACAAACATGATTAAAAAGAATCTTTAAAAAAGTATATCCAAACAACT